TATCCCAGCAAGGCATGTTCGTGCCCTGTTGTGACTCTTACCTTCCCATCCTCATCATCCTTAAAGGGTCCAGCAAGGTGGGGGTCACTGCCTCCCCCCACCTCCCACAGCCCTTCCTGTTCTGTGGCATCTTTGTGCATTTGTGCCTCAGGAAAGGCTGACCAGAAAACTGGGCTTTATGTCACTTGTCATTGTGTATTTACTGTGTAAAACCCTCTAGTGTACCAGAGACAGAGTAGGATCTATAGAAAAAATAGAGTGTTGGAGACAGGATCAGGAGCCAAAGTGGATCCAGTCTTCATCCTAGGTTACCGCTATCACTTCCATTTCTGTCCCTCTTCTGTCCTCCTTTTATGTGATTGCAGGGACCTGCTAATAACTTTCCTAACTCTTTCTCCCAGATCAAAAAGAACTGATCTGGATGGAATGGGAGTAATTAATAGTGTAGTTCTGGAAGCTGTAGAAAACAAATCCTTCACTGCTCACACGGATATGTGGGGAGGCCCACGGAAGGAGGGATGCCAGTCTCCACCTTGCACCTTGGAGAGCAGGAACTGGGTTGTGGCCTGCAACCAGCCACAGGGTGCCTGCTCACCGAGCCTCCAGGGCTGCCCTCACAGCGTGCTGGCTCCTTCCTCTCCAGGTATCTGTACTGTCAGGAGCCATGTGTGCATCTTAGATCATCGAGGTCTACTCTTCTTGTGAGGCCCTGTGTGGGGCTCTGGCCCACTTCGGGGACCTTCCCTAGCCCTGGACATGCCTTTGCTTTGCAGCAAGCACCTGCATCATGTGTCAGTTGGCTACACTTCCAGTTTTTGGGGTTTTACCCCATGACCAAATCTAGCTGCTGCTGGCTACAAAAACTATAGAATGGGGCTGGGGAGATGGCTCAGTTGAAATAAGCACTTGCCTGGCAAGCTCAAGGACCTGAGTTCAATCCTCGGTTCTGAAAAAAACAAAAAACAGAAAACAAAAAAAAGCTATAGAATGAGTTTTTATGGCAGGAAAATGAGCCCTTTGAAGCAGGTTTACAAGTTTATGGACGGTCGGCATTCTGTGGCTCTACTCCCAAGTTTATAAGTCTAAGCAATTGGAAGTTAGGGCTCTTCATTTGACTTTTATCAACTGATAAGCCTGTCTGTGCCTCTGCTCCCCACCTGGAACACATTGTCACCACCTCTGGGAGAGTGGCCAGGACTGGTCACACAGATGTGTAGAGTCCCTGGAACTGTTCAGAGGCTATGGTGCACATGGGACCAACAGACTGACTGCCTTAGATTCTACTAATAGAGACACGTGGTTTACCTGCGCAGATTCTGAGTGGCCCTCCATTCTCTTAGAGAAATCTGTTTAAAGGGGGCTCATATTCCATTCGAAACAGAATTCCAACTTCTGTATTTTTTAATTTCCAAAATAGTATGTTCATTGTAAAAATTGGAAATACAAATAAGAAAAAGAACAACAACACAAAAATCCTTTGTGATTGTGTAGCCTACTGTGAACACTTAGCTGCTAGCTGTGGGTGTGTACAAATCAGTGCTTTAAAACCAAAAGTAATCAATTACTATTTATAATATGTTGTGACATGTTGCCTACATTCTTTGACTTTTGCTGGCATGGCTGTGGGGAATTCTGTTGAAAGCCTTTCTCTCTTGTCCAGTTGCTCGGCTCGAGTTAATTGGTTTCTTATTGTAGGTACCTTTTTTAATGGTTTTGATAGATGTCACTGTTCTGAGCCACCAAGGACTTGTGATTGATTAATGACTGTCACTGGGTTCTGCTCTTGGCTCTTCATGGTCTTTTGATTCCAGAAAAAGAAAACATTTCCAGATAAGATAAAGGCATCATGTTGTTTTGACCTGATTCCTGCAGGCCTCGACACTTCCTGAAAAGGCAGAGCACTTTGTGGTATAGGATAACTTTCCTAGGCTGGTAGGACAGTAGTATGTACTTGACCTGTTACAGGGAGGACCTGCTGGTGTCCTGCTTGAGGGAGAGGACTCAGGCTGGAAGAGGAATGGCACCAGTGAGGTGTTAGTGTGTCACAGACCTGGAGCCCCATGTAGCAGGGAGCTTTGTGTTGGAGGTCAGTCACAGTGATGTAAATCCTGGTGGACAAGACAACCTTTCCTGAGATCTATAGTTTCTTTTCACAAAGTAGACTCTGAAGACAGGTACAGGAAGATCTCTGAAAGCTTGGGGTGGAGGGGAGATCAGAGTTAAATAAATTGATTTCTCTTGGGAAATCTGTTGGTCTAGAAACACATGCAAATAGCAGACATGACCAGAATATTGGGTCTTGATACAAAACATAAAAGATTCAGGTCAGGTTCACTGTGACATCCATTGGATTTGCCTTTCTCTTAAGCATCTATCTAGATCACATGAAATCACAGAACCACTCAAAATAGGGATTCATTTTGCTGATGCCATAAATTAGACTGACATTAGTTTTGTGTGTGTAGATTTTGAGATGAGTCAGTCTTGGGTCTAAACTGGCCCCGGCTGTGGGTTTTTGGAGCCCATCTACCAGGCAGCAGGGAACTCTCAGGCTTTTGGGTTGCTAAGATGTTGGCTTGCATTTCACCTTAAGCAAACTTTCCATTGTTTGTCATTGAAGTTTTATTCAGAACCAGAGAATGATGATAGCTTGGGGCAGGACTGGGCTGGCCAGGGTAGTAATCCAAGACCAGTGTGGTCCTCTCCCCCGGGATTGGGGAAGTCATTTTTATACATCTGTAGGAGGAAGTGTTTGCTTCCTTACCTGCATTTCTCTTGTGTTGTGTTGTGTTGTGTTGTGTTGTGTCACATTGCATGGCATTGCATTGCGTTGTATAGAGTATTGCTGCCACTCTGCAACCAACTTCATCCTGAAGAGACTTGTATGTGTTTGCTGTGGTTGAGGCAGTAACATAAGGATGTGTCTTTGCCTCTCGGGTTATACCAGGTGCAAGCACAGGTTAGATGAGCATAGACTTCTTTGGGTGCGAGGATGGGCCAGGAAAGCTGGCTTTGGGGGAACCAGAGAAGCTTTGGCAGGTGCGAGGGCAAGGCTTGGTGCAAGAATAGTATTTTCCTGTGAGGTGCATGAGAGAGGCCTCAAGACAAACTGGTGTGATTTGGTTTGAGTGTTCCCAGGAAGCAAGGAGGAGCATGGAATTACAACTTCTGGGCCAGTTCAGAGCATCTAATCAGTGACATGGCAGGTGTTTATTTTGGCCTAGTCTCAGGTGGTCCAGAAGGAGTACCTTGTTTATTTCTTCAGAGTCAATTTAATTGTGAGAAATTCCTGGACATCAGTCCTGAGGTGCAGGTCACAGGCCTAACACTTAGTCCTCCTGCTCTGTAGTACCTGGGTGCTGGGAACGTTGTGCCGAGGCCTGTCCTGCTTCTGTTAGCCAGAAGAGAGTTGCTGCTTCTAGAGTCTCCTCTGAGATGTTCCAAGCCTCACTGCTGGGTTCTAGGAATTTTTGTTATTCTGAGTGATCTGAGAATTCCATGTCTGTATCATTCTTTCCTTTGGAGTTCTCCTACCCTAATCTTCTTTCAGAACACACACTTGGTGGTCTCAAGGGACTTGGGAGCTTGAACTGGGAAGGAGTGAGGCTTGATTGACATAGTCACACAAACAGTCCCTTTCTAGCTCAGCCTTGGGTACAAGCTGCCTCTACTGGCCAGGAAAACCAGAAGATAAAGGGCAGGGAGAGTGGGGAGTGAATATGAATTTATATCTCAAAATTCTTCTGCCGCAAAAAAGTCATAGACAAGATGCAATATGATACCCTTTATTTTTCTTCATAGGGATTGAGATAGGGGGCTGTTAATTACTTCAGAGTTACCCCACAAATTAAAGTAGATACATGGTCTCTTTACTTTTTATTCCTTAGTTTTTGATAACTACATAAATGTAATGGATTCATGTTTACAGGAAGGGTATTTTGAGCTCCATTTGGAAGATTACTATTAATAAACATTTCTTCCTGGTATAAATAAAACTAAATCTTTAGTTAAACTAACTTTTTGGCTCAGGACCCCTTTACAGTCTTACAGTGTACTAAAGACCCCCGAAGAGGTTCTTTCTGTTTATGTAGGTTGTAGCTATTGATATGTGTTGTGTTAGAATTTAAGACCATGAAGTTTAGAAAGTACTGTAGTTAATTCAAAAGATTCATTATACCTATAACAGATTTTATGAAAAATAACTATACATGCCAAATAAGAAAAATTAGAGGTATTTCACATTCATTTTACAAATATTTTTAATATTTGATATATGAAGTATGATCAAAATATATGGCGAATGTTTAAATAAAAATTATTATAGTAAAAGCTTTGCCATTAACCCAGTTCAAAATATCTCTCCTCACTGTGTACATAATTATTTTATAATTCTTGGCAATGTGTCTTTTGCTGTAATAAGTTTTTAACAAAATTTGAACATATTCTATTTTTTGCTTCCCCTTGGAAAAGTAGATAAATGGATTCTCATTATCTGTTTTTGTAGTTAGTCTGTTAGGATTTGTTGGAGAAAATCACATAGGTCCATTGTTGGGAGAAAGAGGTCTTCGTGGTCCCCTGAGGGGGTCTCAAATACCCTTAGGAGTTCTTGGAACACTTTGACAACTGCTAGTTTAAATAGATGAATTACCCAAGCATGTAATGGGTTTTAAATGAAAAATTGTCTTTACTTGAGAATATGAAAAACTGGAGATCGAGTCAGTCTTTTGTGGACAGATGATAAAGCATTTGACTGACTGAAGGTTGCTCCTTTTCCTGGGTGCTCGTTAAGTTCCCAGTAAGAGTCAGATTTTGTTTGCAAGGTTTCAGGGAAACCTTGTTGAGTTAGTAATTGTGCAGTACGGTGCAGTATCCTACATAGAATAGAAACAGTCCTATTACAAATGCACTTTTGTTGACTGTGTGTTGGTGGAGGTGTCGTGAAATCACACGTGTGGTATTGTGGTGTCACGTACCTTTAATGTTGCCATCTGTCCTTGCAGAAGTACAAGGAATATGAGAAAGATGTTGCCATAGAAGAAATCGATGGCCTCCAGCTGGTGAAAAAGCTGGCGAAGAATATGGAAGAGATGTTTCATAAGAAGTCTGAGGCGGTACGGGTAAGTGCCCTGTTTTTGCTTTTTTAAAAAAAATTTTATTGAGAAACAAATAGCAACGAGACAGTTTCCAAATAGGCTAGTAGGACAGTACCAATAGTTAATACATTGCATATTGTTGTCTTTGTAGTAGTTATTCATAGTATGAGATGCAGACATGATATCCTGTCCAAACACTATTAGTACAAATCTTTCTTTTCATTGAATTAAGAGGAGGTAGCTGGATATCTATTGTAACTATTTTGTATATACAGATACAAAATGATCCTTCATTTGTATCCCCTTTTTTGTTTAGCTTTGTGAGAGATGGGTATTTCATTGCCATTCAAATATTGTGAGTGAATTCAGCAAAATAATCCAATATAGTCCAATAGTTCATTTGCTTTGTGTTGCCTGAGGATGTACAGGTAGCTTCGGGGACAGGTACTTGGGAGCCCAACTCTCAAAGATAAAGGTAGACTATTGTGTATGTATTTTGATTTCTTCAGTCTGATTAGCCAGGAAAAGCAGGTACCAAGGACCCTTTATTGACAGTGTCTTTCTTATGATTTTATTTCTTTAGCAGAGATGCCCCTAAGTCTACAGCTGAGAGTATGAGCCTCCAGTTATGTGAGGGCCTGGGTTTGCCCTAAGTCATGCAAACATACCCTGTGACTCAACTAAGCCACGTGTGAAAAGTCTCAGTAATGATTGTTAAAGTATGCAATTGAAGATTTCAGTGAGGTAAATGAGATCTAGAAGCAGTTGGAGATTTCTTTAGCTTTCCTGTAATGGCAGTTTTTGTGTTGACCCCCAATAACTCCCTGAAATTTCATAGTACCAGCCAGATGAATAGAACCACAATACATACACCCATGTATTATTTTGGATTTCCAAAATGACTTCTGACTTTATTTCTTATTGCAGTTTTAATAATTTTCTCCCATTTAAATAATTTCCCCCTAATTTTAATAATTGATGTCCAGTTTTTATAATTTTGTTATAGAAGACTTCTGACTCTAGCTTTCCTCATAGTAATTGGCCAAACCACATTTCTTTGTTAATGTAAATCCTCTACTTACAATCATTTGAGTTACAAACTTTCACAAAGGCCTAGAAGCAGTAGTAGTCTGTACAACTCACTTTGTTATATTTAGAAACGAATCTGATTTACCAACATTCTCCTGGAATGGAAAGTTTGTAAGTCAGTGTGTGTATGTGGGGTGAGTTGGGCTCACCCACGCTCCTGCTATTTGGGGTTCATTGTGGCTTCTGTGATGGTGGTGTGGGGGGTCAAAGCACAGCTCAGAAAGGCTTCCACTGTGTTGGGGGATCGGCCTAAGTTCTGCAAGGCTCCCACAATTGGTATGGGAGGGCACAGGAGCAGGGCTCACCAGGTCCTCGAAGCTGTCCAGGGCTCAGCCTGCCCTCTGCCTTTTTGCCTGAATTAACTGTGTACTCTTCAGCCTCTGGGTCTCTACTAATTCCACTGCTCTTCTATAGCTGGACATGTGCGGGCTTTGAAGTACATGTTCCCTCAGTGACTCTTCTTCGAAATGAATAATAAATCAAGCAACCGAGCACCTACTACCAGTCAAGTGCTCCCCGAAGGCCTTTCATGCATTCGCTTACATGATGGAGGTTATGGTCATCACCCCCATTTTACGAAAGAGCAGACTGAGAGACAGAAGTTGGGTCATTCACTAGCGTCCACCTTCTTCACTGCTTCCACATGAGCATCCTAGAGTGAACACTGATTTCTTTCATGTGACTTCTCCTGCCCAGAGGACAGCTCAGAGGCTCCGAACCGAATTCCCCCCCACCTTTTTTTTTCTGTACCGGGAATTGAACTTGGGACCTTGTGCTTGCCAGGCAGATGCTTATGCTGCTGTGTTGTATCCTCGGCCCTCTGAACCAACTTTTTAAGGTTCTTTGTGCTTGTGCAATAACATCTACCCAGTTAAAGCGATCTTATTCCACATCCCCTTTGGTGTGATAGTGCTCACTGTCTTGTACCCTTGATGAAAGAAATCATCTATGTGTCTATTTTGTTTTGGTTTTGCTTTGTTTAAAATACTAGTAACAACATAGCTTGAAAAGAGAGATATAGTTCTAATATGCACTTGTGTGTCAGCCACACAATGTTGGAGTGGAAAGGGAAGTACATATCCTTGGATTGTACCTCTGCAATTAACAGACAGGGAAACCCTGGTGTCTGGAATTCAGTGGTGGGGTCGGGGGGTGGGCGTGCCACAAACTGCTTGGACACAGAGGCCACGCAGTGTCAGAACCTGGACCATAGCCATTTGACAGGGTGGGCTCACGTGCTCGACAAGACATGGGCTCTAGAATATTCTGATTCCTAGTTCTGCCCCAGTGAGGCAGCCAAGTAAACCTTGTGGACCTTTTTTTCCTTCATTACCTCCCTGGAGGTGCTAGAAAGGCTCAGCAGCTTAATGATGTGTTTATTCATGTACTGAGTTCACAGTATAACAGGTCCTGGGTTAACAGGTCCTCTCATTTAACTCTAGCATAAACTGTAGGAGTTGTCAGCACTGCCATAGAGAAGAGCAGACAGGCTTGGCAGGATGCGCTCATGTGCCCAGGCCACATGGGTGGGACTCAGTGGGCTTTGATTTTGTGCCCTGGCCTGGTGGTAAGATCACAGCCCATCTGTGGAGAATTGTGCAAAGCATTTAGCCCATGCCTGGAAAAAGAGCGTTTAGCGAACACTGGCTACTGCTGCTGACTACAGCTTGCTTGCTTGCTTGCTTGCTT